CAGCAGGGCAGTCGAGATCGACGAAATCCATCGTTTGTGTTTTGAGCCTGCGCCAAAGTCTCCCGTTGTGTCTGTCGATATTTGATGGTAGACAGCTTTGCTGTCGTCTTGTTCAATACCATGCCTAACCTATCGGGGCCTAATGTGGTTCACCAATCCAAGTACCGGGGCTTAGGTTACCGGTTTGCATCACTGAACAGCAGGTCCTCGTGACTATGTGGTTTACCCCTGCTGTTCATCACACAAAAGTGTGTAATAAAACAATTTTCATAGCTTTCATGATTTGCCTCCACTGTCTTTCGGCTGGTAGTTGAGCTGGTAGGCGATCGAAGAGCTCCACTTCGAAGGCTGATTTGCAACAGTNTTCCGTCGTTTGCCAGACGTAGAGAGAATCTAGCGGGGCTCGAACGTCGAATCACAGGGTTCAAAGCATACCGGTGACAGCTTTTAAATCACTGCGCCGCCACCGATCGAATGTCACATTGGTCCCTGCGACTGCAGTTTCTTCACTGTCGTAAGTGTTGCTAGATGGTCCGTCAGATGGTGACTTCATCACTTCTATACAATTATTAACATCAACAGCAGTCATTGCTTGAACAGGTGTGCTACCAAGTTACTCGGTCAGTGATCATGCTAATTGTTATTGAGGCTTCGGTGGTGATCAAATTAGATCTTGGTCCTTTCACAAATATTCAGTTCTTTCAATTATGATGGGGCTCTTAAGTGAAAGGTATTTGATTTACTGAAACTCTAGGGTCTATTTAAGTTCTTCCTGAAACTGTAGATCACCCTTTAGACAGGTGAGACATTAAATCCAGGCAAATAGAAATACAAGTTTCTCATTGACTCCATACTTGGTGTATCTTGAAAGTGATATGAAAGTTAGTAAAGCCTGGGTGGGGATATCCAAATATGGCTTGCATAAGCACGTTTGGTTTATTCGCATTGCGTGAAATGGTTACTTAATTTGTTTCCGTTATCTGCTGCGTCTACATGACGCCGGTGTCTTTTTTTAAACATATTGTTCTATGTTTATTATTGACAGGGATAGCAGTTAATGGATTCAGTGGAGTAGCCAGAACCCACTAATTAGGCTTCATTCTCCTGGAGTTTGAATATGCATTCCAACTCCCAGCCTCCGAAAATGGAAAAGGTCTCATTATCGTCCCAAGAAATCATTTCGTGAAGTGCGTATCTTGATACATCTGGCGCAGGTCCTACTCGTGGTGAGGGGATTTTCACCAAAGTGAGAGTTAGAAGCCAATATTCGGGCTACAGCTGGGTGAACAAGCCATGGGATGCTGGGTTACGTACGAAAGGTGGCAAAAAACGGATATAAAATGAACATAGAGGCTTATAAACTGGCTTCTGGAAACCGTGATCGTGATATTTCCCAGATCGATTCGGGGGTGGGTCGTACTGGGCACCCTGGACATGTGAATGACACTCAAAGGAAACAGGATCCTACTGATTAACTATCAGCTCCCGATGGACTGCCGCTCTCACCGCCCCACTGCCTTGCCGAAAAGCGTTTGGTTAACTACAGGCTCCCGTGTGATCCCTCCAACCAAATTCACGTACAACCTGTCAGTATTTTGTCTGCGATGAAACCTTGAACTAACTTGATCCTTATAAAGATTACTGTACTATGATTTGTTTGGCACAACGTGCGTAGTACCGTTGTATAAATGTAAAGCCTAGTCGCTTTGCTTTCGGTACCGTTGACCCTTCTGGGTCAAGTATTCTTTTCGTGGAGCATGACTCATTTTCTGTGTCGAGCCGCAGATCAAGCTGTCACATTAAGTCATCTCACTTTTCTGTCCTCGGTAATTAAAACTCATACTTTGAATACCAGTCCGGCGCATATTCCTTCCTTGCCCCTATCGCAAATACTGAGGAAGAAAGTGCAGAAATAAATGAGTCCATCAAAGGTTTGTTTCATGCTGACTCGTCCTTACCTCCGATCGTAGCGTTTGCGATGCAGACAGTTTTTGGTTAATGCAGAATATTATTTAAAACGACATTTGTTGATCGATTTCCCCCCAGTATGTTGTTTCTGGTCCATGTGATTAAAATGCGTGCAAAAAACTAAGACGAAAAATTCTCCATTCTCAATTTTTCCCTTTCATCTTATGCCACTCCACCCCGTTAATCATATTTTGCCTGACACTCAGGACTTGAATCCGCATGAGGGACTGCAGATAAATATCGCGGGTATCTGTGAAGAAGATGATGATGCTGATGATTTCTTCATCTCTCTATGCTCAGCAAATTGATCCAGTTGTGTGAAAACCTTATGGAAAAAGAAAAGCAACCGCTTGTATTTCCCACCACATAGGTGGTGGTGGCGCAGTGGTTTAGTCGCTGTCACAGGCGCGCTTTGGACCCTATGATCCGAGGTTCGAGCCCCGCCACCGTCACCCAACTTTGATGATAGGCAGCTTTGCTGTCGTCCGGTTCAATACCACTCCCAACCTATCGGGGCCTTATGTGGTTCGCCAATCCAAGTCCCGGGGCTTAGGTTGCCGGTTTCCACCACTGAACAGCAAGTCCTCGTGACTATGGGGTTCGCCCGGTCTGCTGTTCATCACACGAAAGTGTGTAATAAAATAACAATGGGGCTGTGACTTATACAACCGAGCCCATAGCTTTCTTTATAACACCTATTTAATTTACTGCACATACCAAACTCGATGACGCGCTACCGCTCATTGCCACTTCTACTTCTTCCCAACATGTACTCAAAACTTACGGTTTCAGTCATGCTTTTTCGGGGATAGATATCGGCTTTTTGTCGCTGTTATTTTCTTCCCCTTTGTTTTCCGGTTAAGATTTTTCGTTTATCATTCCCGGTAGTTTTATGGACTCATCGTTTCAGATCCAAAGTATCTCTCTGTTAATCTCTCGCATATATACTTCATCAACTACTAATGAACTTACTTATTGTTAAGAAACTAAATTGGACTTCAAAATGTTTCTTTATGCCTTTATTTTAGCTATTTTATTGAAGTGAAGTCAATGAATCCATTGAGTTGGTTCCCATTCTACAACGAAGAAAAACAAGGAGAAAATTTCGACGGTTCATTACTTGTCCCTCTCACTGTTGGATTGGTATCAGTAGTTTCCAGTGTGTTAGTTGGGTATCGTAGCGGTCTTTTGACCCGGAAGCAAGCGGCTTCGCTCATAGTCAAACAGGTAGAGGAAGCTGAACGATCAGTTAGCTTGGTATCTTCCCGCGATATGACCAAGCGAAAGTCTGCTTCAAAGAATGTGAACAAGCCCAACCCTACTGTTACCAACCCAGCTGCGGTTCCAACCGCGTCTCATGCACAAAGTGTATCCCTTTCTGGAGAATTTTCCCCCTCAGGAACATCAGCCAAACAAGTTGATGGGTCCAAGCAGCGCTCAACCCAGCCCGAACCAGTTCCACATATTGCACAAGCAAAACCCCCCGATACCCAGGCTCGTATTGTTGAGGACAACGTTCCACAGACCAACGTCTCCAAGTCTATTTCAGCCTCAGGCAAACGGAACAAAAAAACAAAACATTCAAATCAGTCACGTTCCGAACCAGAAGCTTCATATTCAAATGGTCTGGATCCTACAGAACCGGATATGGCTTGGGTTGTGGTGACATCGAAGAAAGTGAAGCAGTCCACGACCACTGTTTCCAACGGACAACCAACTACCAAAGTTGCAAAAAAGAAAACCAAAATTTCCGAAGGTATGTAGACAGTTTCGTCTTGTATAAATTCTCGAGTCGTCTTTCCTCTTATCACTATAATTATCATTATTGAGTTGAAGCACTTGATCATGTAAATTGAGGATTTTCATGTCGCTCTTGATCTTTACCAGTTTCATTTTTTCACACTCATCAAACTTTCAATTCCACTGTCTGGTCTTAGTTGCTGTTTTTCGTTCGCCTGATGATCAAAGATGCAAGTAAAGGAATTAAATCGCCTGGAGCAAGTGATACAACGACTATAAGTTTTGAAGAAATTAGCTTTTCTTGACTACGACGAACGAAAAACCAAAACACAAGGCGTTGGTGACAATGTTTTCAACCCTCTTGGAAGGCCTTTGTCAAGTGGACAAGAATTCATGTGAATTACCACAAGTACCCAATAGTGGCACCAAGCAATATAAGCAGAATTCTTGAAGTACATCTGCTCACGTGACCCCCATCCCTATTGTGTAGTAATCGAAATAAGGCAGTTGCTAACTCACTGTAAATCACCACGTTATTGGTTCACAGTTTCCGACGGTATTTTGAACGGTTAAATGTGTCCGTGCCCACTTTGGTAGGAAACAGTTTTGATCATGTGACTGTTGCCATTTAAGTGCAGGGTTACACAATTCGTCTATGATCAAATTTTCAATCGACTTGTGACTGTGCACCGATTTCGCCTCCATTTTTTATCACACGAAAGTGAATACAGTAAAAGGGGTAAACCCCATTATCCGAAGATATACTGTAAGTGGGAACATTCAAGCTAGAACCAGCTTATTGATTCTGCGTTTAAAGACAAGGATGTTTTACATTGGAGGGAAGACCGACAGGAGGAGAATGTTCCACAGTTGTGCTGTTCTTGGGAAAAAAGATAACTGAAAGTTAGAAATGCGACACCTGGGGATAGTCACTTGAAATGGGTGGCTAGCAGCTTGTGCGCGGGATCTACGAGGAAGAACAAGGGAGAGAGGAACAGAAGCGGAAAGTTCATTAGAGTAAGATGCAAAGTAGTATCGATAGAATAAGGATAAAGAAACGACTGCTCAGCGGTGAGCTAGTGACGGCAAGTTGCTTGTTGGGGACGGATGGCCTTACTTTGAACCCGATCAAGAAGAGAAAGAGAGGCGAACGCAGCTCCATCCCACGCATGACTGCAGTATTGAAGTGTAGGGCGAATCTGAGCTTTGTGAAGCGAGAGAAGGTGAATGGGTTTAAACGTCTGGCGCGGGAGTCGAAGGCGATTTTTCGCTCAGCGCAAGAGACAAGTGGATAGATATATGGTGACCATAAAAGAGAAGATGATAAGGAAAGTCCGAATAGGTTGCACGAATCTGCAGAACGGATAATGCTCGAGTAAAAATTCAAGAAAGGAGAGAAAGATACGCGCTTAAAAGAAATGGACATGAGGGAAGTCTTACTGGTATTGAAGAGTACACGGTTGCGACAGCCTCAAGCATAAATAAGGCCCAGATCAGAATTTAGGGAGAAGCGCTCCTCACTCGTGCTGGAGCTAGTGATGCGCGAAGAGGAATAGGACAGAGAAGAGTATAGGATAGCGTCATCAGCAAAGACGTGAATAGGATTTAAATATATAAATATATATATATATATATAAATATATATATATATATATATATCATCAGTAAACATCAAAAAGGGAAGGGGAAAGTGCAGAACCTTGGGAAACACCACCATTCACATGTACGGAACGAGACATGGTCCCAACTACTCCATGCCTCATGTCGAGCGGTATCCGTGATTTGTGGCTGCAAGCCCCGATTCCAAACTAGATGATCAATATCTGATCAGCTTCGGATCTCCATCACACTGTAGTTATCGTCTTTTCTTATACGCGTGGTACTTCGTCAGTATGGCGACTGAACTAGGCTCATTTAGAAAATATGTAGACGTTCCTATAACCCCCGCAATTTAACTTATCGGCTATTTAG